GTCTTGTTGATGTTAAAAATTTGTTCATCCGAATACCCTCCTTCTTCCACAATTTTCTTCAGAACTTCAGGATATTCATCAGCAGCTTCGTTATCTGCACTAGCTGCTTCCCCTGTAATTCTTACATTGTGCAGGCTAGTTCTTTTCTTGAACTTCTCCAACCATCCAGCACTAGCATGGAACTCCTTTGTTTCATCTTTGAACTTTTCTTCTTTTAAGATTGAAAAGAGACTTAATGCTTTTTCTTTTATGAGATCAGTGCTTAAAGGAACTATTTTCTGGTTACAGTCCTCTATCCAGATAGTTAGCATTCTCTCTAATTCAATCATGATAACATTTTGATTTTGAGTGATATGCACACATGATAAGTTTGAAGCAGCTTTACCTTTCATTTTGTATTCATCAGCTTTACCTAAAATTGCCCTTACTGTTGACTCAACTAGTTTGTGCTCTAGGCCTATTTTTGATTTCAAGACACCATCTTCACTTTTACTTATGATTTCTATTTTTTCTTTCTAAGGAAATAACTTTTTGAGTTTTCCTTACAACTTCACTTTCATCTTCGCTAAGTCTTTTGGTCATGTTTAGGAAATGGTAGTACGTTAAAATGTCTATAGTAAAAAAAATTGTCAAAAAATTATTTCAAAGATGCACAAATGGCTTGAGTAGTTAGGCTAATAGCAGACAACTAATTACTTAGATGATGTAATTTAACTCGGGGTAAATAATATTTGAAATAAAATATACTTGATTAAGATTTTTATTTATTTATAAATCGTATTTAAAAATATATCGAACAAATAACAAGGCTGACAACGTTTTATCACTTTTTTTGTTTAAGCTTGTCGTAAAAGTAAACAGATCTGGAAAATCTCACAGTATAAAAAAAAAACATGTTACAGAATTTAAGTCTAATCGAATACTCATACGTTCTTTCAAAATACCTCTATAAGACGTCATTTTTATTAAGTTTAAAGCATTATAATAAAAAAATTCTTTAGTGAGCTGAAATCTATGTGAATTAGAGCAATTAAA